CAGATTATGCCCGCTTACGAGCACCTTTAAAAAAACTACTTAAAAAAGATGTGAAATGGAATTGGGACCCAGATTGTCAACAAGCTTTCACCACTCTCAAAGAGAGTTTAACCAGTAAACCAGTACTACACTTGTATCAAGTCGGTTTACCCTGCCGCCTTTATTGCGACGCATCCACCCAAGGGATCGCAGGCATACTCAAACAGGTACATCCAGACGGACAAGTACATCCTGTACAATATTTCAGCCGCGCCCTTAGAGCACATGAGAGAAATTACACCGTTTCCGAACTCGAGTGCCTCGCCATCGTCGAAAGTGTAGACAAATTCCGAATATACCTCACCGGTATAAAATTCACCGTATACACAGATCACCAAGCTTTACAATGGCTTAAAACTATAAAAAATCCGTCAGGACGACTCTTTAGATGGAGCCTGAGACTATCTACCTATAATTACGAAATTCACTACCTCAAAGGCAGCCAACAGTACGAAGCAGATTTGTTATCGCGAAACCCCTTTGTAGGATTTGTCAGTGCTGATATTATCAAACAGCATCAACCAACAGCATCCCCCTTCAACATTGATACAAACGGCTTACATACCATTACCCGAAAAGGTGTAATTAAAATAATAATTCCCGAAACCCTGCAACATACTCTAATGAATAAAGTTCACCAAGAATATAACCACCCAGGCATCTCTCAGATGACCCGCATAATTACTGCCCAGTACTACTGGAAAGGTATCTCTAAATCTATAGAAAAATTTGTCAAGTCGTGTCACACCTGCCAAATCATTAAAAGGCCCAAAGGTAAACCCTATGGTGCCCTTGGACAAATTCCACCACCTCAACAACCATTCGACTTAATCTCTATAGATTCCATAGCTGGATTTTCGAAATATGGACACTCCAAGACATATCTAAACGTAATAGTGGATCATTTAACGCGATATGCTTGGACCTTTCCATCGAAGTCCACCAGTACCCTAACATACATTCAAACCCTCAAAACGGTACTACAGCAAGGATCTCCAAAACGTCTGTTATCTGACAGAGCGCCCGCTTTTACCTCAGAAAAATTCCGTAAATTTCTAATAACGCATGGTATACAACCTCTAATAACTACCAGCAATAACCCACAGGCAAACGGTTTAATAGAACGCTTTAATGCGACCATTACAGGCAAGCTCAGACTAGCTTATCTAGAAAATCCGAAAGCTTCTTGGACTCAACTAGTTAAGCGCGTCACTCAGACGTACAATAACACGCCCCATTCTGTCACAAGTTTTCCACCTACCTACTTAATGTTCAATGTTATCCCCCCAGATCTAAGAACTCATCTTGACCCATACCCCGAAATAAATATAGCTCGAGAGATAGCAAACTCTCGTACTCAAAATAAGCATAAAAAAGATAAAGAAACATTTGATAAGCAGCACAGAACACCACATTTCGAAGTGAATGATCTTGTTTTGGTAAAAAATTACAGACATCCAGACACAGGTAAATTAGCACCATATTTTACTGGACCATACAAAATAATTGAAATAATATCACCCAATGTCGTTCGAATAGATCGCCCCAATCAGCCTCTCAATAGAGACAGTGACACCATACATGTCAATAAATTAAAATATTACACAGAGAATGTTCTGTACATTACACCTCCACAAACCCGATTTGCTCAAAACCCACAGCGATTGTCTCAAGATGTATATTTCAGTGAATTCAATCATTTGACTCCAGATATCTTCGAGACGCAACTAGTCCGAATTATACCGCCTACAAGCTCACAACCCTTTTTGCATTTAAACCCCAGTATTTTCAAATAGGCAAGAAATATGCCAAACTCAACAAAAGAAGAGAGAGAGAGAGAAAGTCAGTTTCGAGTAAATCTCAAACATCCCCCATGATTGACCACCTACGACGATACCGTGAAAAACAGGGAAGTGGACGCCCTTTTTGACGCCACTCCCTTGGTCACTACTATCTTTTGAGAATATCTTTGGACATGCCCTCTCTTCCCCCTCAAGGCAGATCTTCTTGACCGCTAGCTTCATGACGCCATTTTGAACACAGGTGTCACACTACTCATTTAGATTTCCTCGAGAATCTCACAAATCTCACCAACGAGATATCACAACACACACTTTAAACATTTTACATGTTAATTGATAACACCAATTAAAACAATTTGGTTAAGTCTTATATAGACTTTTTAACGCGAAAGAGAAATCATTCTCTACATACCAGCATTGAGGACAAACGAAAAGATCATTTCACATATTCCCAGTTTCAGAGTCATAGTAACACCGATGTTACCAAAGGGATATAATCTAGTCACACACCACAACTGTAACTTTTCGTCAAAAGAGACAATTTTTGTTCAATTTTACACTACTTAAAATGTATCCAATCATTAATAATGTTCAATTATATTATAAATTTTGTATAAAATCTTGAATAATTATTCTTATTCTTACCTTTCAATTATATAAACAAATTTTTTAATCCAACATTTAAAAAAAAAAAACCTTTAATCAAATTTACTTTTATTTTTCATGATATTATTCTAGTATTGTAAAACATCTAATTGTTTCAAAAATTATTTTTATTTTATTATTTATTATATATTTTATATATTACAGGTTTAATTTTGTCCACTTACACTTTTTGTACCCGCAATCATATTTCTATATTTCTATTCACTATATTTTATTTGTTTAAATACCTTTATTATCTGACAAAGTTTATCATCCACTATCGGGCATCTACAACAATCGTTTTCAACAATCATATTCTTTAACCAATTCCCTATATTTTTCATCACTATCTTTGCAGTCATTGCGTCACATCAACGTAGTAAAACGACAGCACTGCTTGACAATTTATTTTTTGATTTCGTAATTCAACAAACTCTTTGAGAACACAGTTCCCCAGACTTACAAATCCAAACTTCTGGTCTGAACACGCTTCAAGAGTTTATTTCATTTCATCCGCAGAGCTAAATCACCAACGCATACACAAAGCGTTCACTTTTTTCAACTTTCAACTTTTTTTTCAGCTCTAGCGGACCACATTCAACCTTTGATTTCGAGTCAAGTTAGGTCACTTACTGTCGCTACAATTCTACTTATCGCATGGCTCTATTTCACTCCTTTCTCAATCATATTAATAAGCAACTTTTCTTCAACAACTTTTAACCCAATAATCCTAAAATTGTGACAAAACACTGTAACCCTTATATAGGATCGCAAGTGAAACATTGCCAAGGAAGACAGCTCAAGTCTATATCCTCGCTTTGCACCTGGATCTGAGTATTTGGTTTACATGGGCACTTCTAACAATTACATATTCTTCAACAACTTTTAAACCCAATAACACTACAATTGTGACAAAGCACTGTTACCCTATACAGGATCACAGGTGAAACATTGCCTAGGAAGACGCTCAAGTCCATATCCTCGCTTTGCACCTGGACCTAAGTATTTGATTGCATGTGTAAATCTCACAATTGCTTATTCTTTAACTACTAACCCTGTCCAACGCCCACCAATATTCTCTTAGAATGTGAATTTTTATGTCATCATTTTATTTTAATCATCTTTTTTGTTAATCAAACACAATGTCATTTTTATTTCACTTTTATATATCCAACAAATATCATCTTGTTATAGCCCTTTTTAACCCTCACAGTTTAAATTAATTTAAAAAAAAATTAATTACTTACCTGTGTTAGAGAGGCTTTACCCGCCTAAACCCGGATAAACCCTTTCACTCCCGGGGCCCATCTATGGTAATTTAAACTAACAACCCCATACTGTGTATATAACTTATAATAAGATTGTCATGTTGTATATAGAAACACATCTATAAATAATTATGCGCATGATTAATCTGTGTCATTGTATCGCCCTATGTAATGTAATTTGTACAAAGTGGATAAATAAATAAAATCTGTAATAGATTTAAGAGTTGAGCTAGGGCAGAGATCAAACCTATAGTATTGCCAAAACAACAGAGTCTAAAGATGGAAGTCATAAATCAGGTAGATTCACAATTCCCACGACAGGCCACCCACACTGTCACATGTGGTGGAATGCAGAGACCCCTCTCACACCTGGACAGGTAAAGGCGCCCTTTCTCAAACGCCCCTGTCACATAAGGTCCCCCCCCCCCCCCGTCTTTTAACCTATAAATACATCACTTTTACAAGGACTTGACAGTTCAGTTCAGTTTAGTTTAGTTCACCCTTAGTGCAAGCCGCGCCGGTCGTATGTTATGTCGATCTCATCCAACATGTAATTAGGAAGAACTCGTCTATCTCCATCTTGCGCTTCTAGCTCAGCTTTTATCTGTTACGGAACTTTCTTAGTGCAACTGTGTCTTCGTTTTTTGTGTATGGATATCCCCAAGCTTTTCCACTCTGCCTCGACCACGACTGCCTGTATTTTGTGAGAACTTTTAAAGGTCTTCCAAGGTGCAGAGAGGTACTGGAAAACTCTACATCCTGACTGTTCCTCTCGGTCAACACAGTACAACAAGAGCTACCAGGACTTCAACATTATTTCAGTAGTCGACGTCAAACTCAACCAAATTATTTCATATATATGTGTAAAAAAAAAATAGAAAGCACATGTGCTCCTTGTCAGGGGATATGCCTTTTTATTTTCAATATATATATATACTAGCCGAATGACCCGGGCAACGCCCGTGTTTTACCCGATTGAATGTATTGATTCAAATACTATTTGTTACAATTATAAATTGTGGTCATGTGGCCTAGTGGTCATGGCATCTGCCCGGTAAGCGGAAGGTCGTTGGTTCGATTCCCATCCCTTGACACTTTTTTTATTTTATCCATTCTGACCAAAATCTATCCGTGAACTTCACACAGACAGAATAAGGCATATATACTAGCCGAATGACCCGGGCAACGCCCGTGTTTTACCCGATTGAATGTTTTGATTCAAATACAATTTGTTACAATTATTAATTGTGGTCATGTGGCCTAGTGGTCATGGCATCTGCGCAGTAAGCGGAAGATCGTGGGTTCGATTCCCATCCCTTCACACTTTTTTTATTTTATCCATTCTGACCAAAATCTATCCGTGAACTTCACACAGTGAACTTCACAGAGACAGAATAAGGCAATTATATAAGTAGACTAGCGGATGTGCCCGGCTTCGCCCGGGTTTTTACCCGAGTAAAGGTTTGTCTAACGAACATTTGTTAAAACAATTCTCTATAAACTTATTTTAAAAAGAAGATATATTTTGATAATTTGAAACTTGTAAATTTGAATCTCTCGATAAAGTGAACATTTTTTCCCGGTCCCTGTGTGCCGTGTCATCCTGAATTTTGTCTTTCCTAATTTTCTACATTACAAAATCATCGTTTTATCTAGTGAACATTTTTTTCCGGTCCCTTGAAAAATACTCGATAAGTTGAATAAAATCAATATTAATTGGTTCCCTCGGTAATTGGAAGTTAAAGGAATAGTATCTTCGCCTTGGAATTGTATCATTATTCTTGTCTCAAATAAATTGCCGTGTCATCCTGAGATAATCTTACTTTTGATAAATAATATTTAAGATTTTATTATATATATTATATTATATATATATTACACGTTATTTGTTTTCTTGGCCGACTGTTTTAGATATGGTGTTATCTTAAAATTGCTTGTTTTGAATATTTTTTAGATTGAGATTATTAGCTAGTATGTAAAAAAATTAACTCTGCTGAAATTTAATTTTGTATTTATATATAAATAAAATTAACTCTGTTGATTTTTTTGTATTTAATCGATAACAGCGAAGTTACGCATGTTAATGTTAGGGAAAAATATTTTGATGTTAAGCAAAACCTGCTCCATCTCGTTTTACATAAATGTTGAGAATTTTGTTAAAATTGATGCATTGTAACGAAAGTTTTTAGTGATGTACACTTATGAAATTTGCATTTTATAAATATAGATATATATATATACTAGACGAATGGCCCGGGCAACGCCCGGGTTTTACCCGAGTGCGTATATATTTTAAAAACGTTTTAATTCAAATACTATTCGTTACAATTATAAATTGGCGCCATGGATGTCACTCTTGTGAAACGTCCCGTTACAAACTGTGTGTTTTTAAAATGTTTTAATCAAAATACTATTCGTTACAATTATAAATTGGCGCCGTGGATGTCTCTCTTGTGAAACGTCCCGCCCCAAACTGCGTGTGTCTTGAAAATATAAAAATAAAAATGTTAATTTTCATAAAGATTTCATCATGTCGATTTTTTTTTTTTGCATTCCACCTACTAAATCGATAGAGATAATTACATTTGCAACATGAACTTAGGTATATTGACTAAATAGAAAACTGCATAGTAATAAAGAACATTTTTTAAAGGCACCATATCGTTTTTTTTTCAATAAAATCGAAACAAAAATTAAAGATAAATAACGATAATTGCCTTAAAAAGAAATTGCCTTAAAAAAAAGAAACATTCGCGGTGATTTTGTCTTGCATTCGTTTATACAATTATTATATACGAATGACCCGGGCAACGCCCGGGTTTTACCCGATTAAATGCTTTTATTCAAATACTATTCGTTACAATTATAAATTGGCGCCGTGGATGTCATTCTTGTATAATATATAAATGAGTTTTAAAAATTGTAAAAAAAAAAAAGCATCGGCCGGGAATCGAACCCGGGCCGCCCGCGTGGCAGGCGAGCATTCTACCACTGAACCACCGATGGTTATGAAAAATCCCATCCGTGAGCTTCAAACAGACAAACAGACAGAATAAGGCAAATATATAAGTAGATACATATATATATATATATGTAATATTGTTGCAAATGTCGATGTATGGATAAGCTGGCAGTCGTGTACGTGAGGCGAGTGTTGATGTTCTTCCCACACGCGGACAACAAGAAGCAGAGGCAGGGCTAGATGTTAGCACCAAGAGTGATCAGGGACAGCCCACGAGACAGAGGTAGAGGCCATGACACAAACTTGGATGCTTATCCCCGAGATATGGAGGAGAGACCGTGTGTGTGAAAGACAGCAGCCGTCTGTCGATGGCCACCCTCCAGTACATCTGCTGACCCCCTGCCAAAACCTGTCTTGTTTTCAGGATGGCGTCTATAAAGAGTCCCTGGGGGCCCCACATGGGCTGGGCGTTGGCTTTTCCTCCCCTCTGTCCCTGCCACCAGCTGACCGCTCTCTCTTTGGATCTTTATTTTGACGTCAACATTTTTAGTTTTACATACAAATAGGGGTTTACGGGTATTATTAATAAAGATATAGCATATATACAAAATATGAGGGTGGTAGCAAATAGAAACAGTGTACATTTTAATAGAAGGTAGGATATTTTAAGGCATCGGCTCTAACTAATTGGGAGATATGTGACATATACAAAAAGTGTCATTATTATACAGTTTAAAAATATACGATAGAATGTGCCCCCGGTGATCAAGGTTTGTTTGGGGGAAATGAAATAACATGAATGATGACCTAACAAACCTATTATAAAATCAAAAGAAATAATTTGAGTACAAATTAGTTGATATTATTATAAATATAGGAGTATAAAATAGGAGAATAATATAATGATGACGTCTCAAAAAGATTTGTCACGTTAGAAGTACAGCACAACTTCCGGAGATTGCCCTACGGGATTAAAATAGGACCACAGGTGTATGAACGAGCTGTCAGTCAGATATTACAGAGAAATAAGTTGAATTTTATAGCGCATTACTTCGACGATTTCATTATATTCTCAAATTTCATTGAAGAACATATAAGTCACTTACAACAGTTTTTTGTTATGTGTAATAGGGAAAATTTTAGATTAAACTACAACAAATTTGACTTTTTTAGGACTACCATATAATTTTTAGGTTATACAATATCGTCAGGTACTTACACCCCACTAGTTAAAATTTTAGAAGTAATTAACGCAATTAAAGTCCCTACTAACGTTAAATCCCTCCAATCATTTCTAGGCTCCAATAATGTGTATAATAAGTTTATTAAAGATCACGCCCGTGTTAGGAACCCTCTCAATAATCTTCTTATAAAATATACCCCATGGCGCTGGGACGCAAAGGTCAAAGTTCTTTTGACACTCTAAAGAAGTGTTTGACCTCAAAACCGATTCCACCTCTTCAAGAAAGGGTGGCCATGTCAGCTATTCTGTGATGCCTCTTTCAAGGAATAGCTGGCATCCTGAAACAACAGCACCCAGACGGCACCCTACACCCTGTGAAATTTTAGAGCAGACCACACGAGAAGAATTATAGCATCACAGAATTGGAATGCCTTTCTGCAATTGATTGTGTGGAAAAATATGCATCTATCTCACGGGCGTAAGGTTCATCATTTTCACAGATCATCATGCACTCCAGTGGCTGAAAACCATAAAAAATACCACAGGTAGACTCTCTAGGTGGAGCTTAAAAATGTCCTTCTTTTACGAATACGATATAAAATATATAAAGGAAAAAACGCAGTACAAGGCGGATCTACTGTCCCGTAATCCTATATGTGGATTCCTCACGTCCAGCCAAATAATTGAAATACATCCCCAAAAACCCCCATCATCACTTATTAAAACGAATACAGACGGCCTCCATACAATTAAGCGTAAAGGTATTGTTAAGATCGTAGTCCCCCCCTCCATTACAACATTCATTAATCAATAAAGTACACTTGGAATATAACCATCCCGGTGTATCCCAAATGATTAGGCTCATCTCCACCCAGTATACCTGGTGTGGGATGACCAAATCAATAGTCAAGCATAATAGATCCTGTCCCACATGTCAAATTATAAAAAAAGGTCTCCTCTCTCTCTCTCTGTATGGTAAACTAGAGTGTCCCCCTATATCATTACAACCATATGATATGTTATCCATAGATACTATTTCAGGTTTTTCAAAGTACGATAATAAGAGATCATATCTACATGTAATAGTAGACCACTTAAGTCGTTACACTTGGACTTTCCCCAGTAGGTCAACTAGTATAATTACTTATATTCAATGCCTTAAAAAGGTATTACAGTGTGGACGTCAAAAACGCGTGCTCTCAGACCGAGCACCTGCATTTACTTCCCCGAAGTTCAGAAGGTTTTTAATAAAACACGGGATACAACCTCTTCTAACCACCACGAATAATCCTCTGGCTAACGGTCTATGTGAACGTCTCAACGTGACACTCACCGGGAAGCTAAGATTGTTGTACCTAGAGAATCCCAGAATCTTCTGGACTAAGTTAATTAGGATAGTAACTTGAAAATATAACGATAACCGAATTCCCCCAATATTTTTAATGTTTAATATAATCCCATCAGACTTAAGAAATCATATAAACCCATACCCTAATATAGTAGAAAGTAGAAGGATAGCAGTACAGCGTATAAATGATAGACACGCTAAAGAAATATATATATAATAATAAGTATAAGACCCCGCAATTCGCCATAGGGGATCTAGTATCAGTAAAGGCGTACCATCACCCAGATAGCGGCAAGTTAGTACCCTACTTTACAAGCCCTTATAAGATAATTGAAATAATTTCATTGAAATAGTTTCCAGACTTCAGTGTTGTCAGAATGGCCAGGACTGGCACATTTCCAAATTGCCTTTCAAAATTCTTAATATAATATTAATATGCTTCCAGATCACATAGAAGTGTGAAACTTTTAACACTCGCTCAGCCCAATGAAAGATGCAAGTGTATAAATTTTCAGATTTCCGGGTGGTCCAAAACTTTGCATTCCACACGCCATTATAAGTTCAACGTGCACGCCGCAAATACCCACACTTCACCTGACGACGAAAACTTCTCCCCCCTCACACTGTGCCTTCTCCAAACATCACTAAGGAAGTGACAATGGCTATATCAACCAACGATTAACTTTCCGACTAGACTTCAACGACCGGACACTTTTGTCCGGTGAGTACAACTCATTTTAAACCTAAATGTACAATTATTTATTAAGTAGATTTTTTTTCATATTAACTTTAGCCCTTGCAAATAGATAACAATTTACATTTTGTTTATAC